ATATATATATATATATATATATATATATATAGTTTGTTTACCTTACTATCTCACAATGGACATATGTAAAGGGACAGGAAAGTTATGAGCAGCATACATTTACAGTCATCCTCGATGTACAACAGTTCATTTACTGACTGTTGAACATTACAACGGCACTTGATTTGTAAGTGACTTATGACCATTTTTCACACTTACAACCTTTGTAGCAGCCCCATGATCATGCAATCAAAATTCAGATGCTTGGCAACTGGTTCATACTTATGACCGTTGCTGTGTCCCAAGGTCATGTGATCACCTTTTGCAAACTTTTGACAAGCACAATCAACGGGGAAGCCAGACTAATTTTACAACCAGGTTACTAACTGATAAACTGTGGTGAGTCACTTAAGAACTGTGGCAAGAAAGGTTGTAAGAACTGTGGCAAGAAAGGTTGTGGTATGACTGTTGTGCTTTTTTAATTATGCATGGTTTTTATGCTTTTTGTAACTTTGTTTGTTTTTCCCCTTCCTTTGAGTTGTGAGCCGCCCTGAGTCCCTTCAGGGAAAAGGGCGGCATACAAATAAATTAAAATGAAAAATGAAATGAAAATGAAATGTAAAATGAGACAAACTCATTTAACAAATGTCTCACTTAACAACCAAAATTTTGGGCTTCCATTGTGGTCATAAATCAATCACTACCTGTAATTTGATGTAGCTGAAAAGATCTATAAATACACAGAACCAGCTTCAGTGTTAAATTTAGTCATAGATATTACTGTCAGAAAAAGGACAGATACTGGAATGAAATATTGGTGGATTAAGACAAGAAGTACCTCTAAAATGTTTTTCTGTAAGAAATGGCTTGTCTGCACCATTTAAAAACAAACAAACAAAGTTTTAGGCTTGTATCTGAACAACCCTTGCACAACAACAGAAATAAGTAGAACTTACTAAGTAGGGGAATACATTACTGCTCAATATTAATAGCAACTTACAGTGACTAGAGCAATTTGCATTCTTTATTTTTCATAGCGTCCTGCATTAATAATATCTAGAAAACAGAAACCCACATGAACCTGATACATCTGCATAGCAATTTCTCAATGTTTTTCTCAACAGAAAGTTGTGGGAATTTAAAACAAAACATTGAAACTGTGGCATGCCCTAAGAGAGCTTCATCAAATAATACATCTAGATTTGCAATGCAGAAATTGAGCAAGGCATAAATATTAGGGTCTACATCTATCTGGCTTTGAAGGAGAAAAGGTGATATAACGCTCACACATGCATTGGGAGCTCCCTTCCTAAAAAAGCTGTGTCTTTTCCTGAGTTCAAACAACTGGAAAGGTGAACTTTATTTAAAGCGGTCCCACCAAACACAATGTTCACTTCCATATCAGCCGTGAATCACCTTTGCCGCTATCAATCCAGACAGATGCAACAGCCCTAATCAATATTCCACCCCTGGAACCACCCCAGGGCACAGCCAGATGTCTCAGATAATAAGGGAGAAAGGCAAGAAGATGTCAAACGTGTCCTGACATTTCTCTTCAGGGTCTAAGGTTTATTCTCTTGGAATAAAAGAATTATAATTTGTTCCATGGGTAATAGCTTTCGGTAGGCCTGTGCTCAATGAAAATGCACTGTAACATCAGGTCTCTTGGATACATTGGGGCAATAACTCACAGAATTCCCAAGGATGAGACTGGGGAAAGTTAATGCTCTCCTAAAGCTATTCTGCGATTATTCTGGCTGCATTTTAAACAATAGTTTAAATGATTCCCATATAAGAAGAACCTGATAAGATCATGCCACAAACCTATCTAACTCTGTGTCTTGCAGTGGCAATTGGATGCGTTTGAAAAGCTCACAAATCTGCCATAGATGGCAATCATCTCCTTCCATTGTGACTTTCCAGGAATCAGAACCTGTGGCCTAGAATACAGGAAATAGCCATTAATATTAGTAGACACATTGTTTGAGTTTCAGCTCTTCCATTCCTGCGGGAGCTTGGTTTGTTTGAAAGATCATGATGGTTATGTTTGGGAAAGTATAATGCTGTGTTGGAAGCATCACATCCAAGACATTATTAAGTGCCTCTTGTGTAAGAAAAGATAAACTATTTGATAGCAAACTTCAGAAGATTAAAGGTAAAGGTTCCCCTTGCACATATGTGCTAGTCATTCCCAACTCTAGGGGGTGGTACTCATATCTGTTTCAAAGCTGAAGAGCTAGCACTGTCCAAAAAAGTCTCTGTGGTCATGTGGCCAGCATGACTAAAGGCCAAAGGCCCATGGAACACTGTTACCTTCCCATCAAAGGTGGTCCCTATTTTTGTACGCGTTTTTACAGGCTTTCGAACTGCTAGTTTGGCAGAAGCTGAGACAAGTAACGGGAGCTCACTCCATTACACAGTGCTAGGGATTCAAACCACCAAACTGCCGACCTTTCTGATCTACAAGTGCAGCATCTTAGCCACTGAGCCACCACATCAGAAGATTAACCGTTGCCAATTAATAGAAGGATAAGTAAAAATTGATAAATTGTTATTTCTTTATGTAGCTCATCAGGGGTATTATCATTCAGCAAATATATAAGCTTTGAGTGAGTCATTACTTCTGAGCAAAAACTTCACATCAGTGGTTGAGTTATCAGTAGGGAAATTCTTGTATACATTTCCTACCCTTGAAAGGAACCATATTAAAATAAAATCTATAATTCATTCCTACCTCCCCCCGCCCCATCTCACAGCATTGGGTTCAGTTTCACACATTACAGACCCATGTACCCCAGAAATCAGATATCAGGATCCTTGAGGGCAGGACAAGAATCAATGGTTGGAAACTAATCAAAGAGAGAAGCATCCAAGAATTAAGGAGAAACTTCCTAAGAGTGAGGACAATTAAACAGTGAAATAGCTTGCTTTCAGAAATCGTGGGCACTCCACCACTGGATGTTTTTAATACGAGACTAGACAACCACTTATCTGAAAGACCGCCTCCTGCCGATTACCTCCCTTCGACCAATTCGATCGCACAGACTGGGCCTCCTCCGAATCCCATC